CAGACTCCCTGCAGAGCAGGGAGCCCGATGCGGAACTCGATCCAGGGACTCCAGGATCATGACCTGAGCCGAAGGCAGTCGCTTAACCAACTGAGCCACCCAGGCGCCCAGCTTTTTATTTCTTAAAAAAATATCTTGTTAGCACTTTTATTGTGATAGCTCTAAATTTATAGGTTAACTCAAGGAAAATTGGCATCCTTTTGGTTAGTCCAAGTATCTTTTGGGTCCTTCAATGGCAGTTTAAATTTTTTTCCAGATGGATCTTGTATATTTATGTTTCTTCTTAGGTATTTTTTTTCCTCTTAGGTATTTAATTAAGGATCCAGATGTAATCATATCCTCCCCTGCTCCCTGTGACTGCAGTTCAGCTCTAATATTAAGTGGTTATTCAAAGCAAACAGAAAATTACAGTTATGTTTTGAATAGATAACTCACAGTATCTAGGTAACTCTAATTTCTAGACCTTTCTCCTTAAGTATTGGATATTCCCTAGATTAGATAAAATAGAAGAGCCATTAAATAGAGAATCCCCTTTCTTCATATGATACTGTTTTCAAGAAGCAATTCATACCCATGTACTACAATATTTTAAAGTACATAAATTAAATTAAAGTACATAAAGTACATAATTTAAATTACACTTGTTACAATTTAAAGTGTTCGGTTTTCTCTGGAATGCAATAAGCTGATTTTAACTGAAGAGGCCCATGTAATATGGAAAAAAAATAGGAAAAAAGGGTAGAACACTTTATGTTCGTGAGGCTGAAACATTTGGAAAATAAAGATGGTATCCTCTTACCGGGACAGGATCCCTACAAAGCTTTGTACAGGAGATCCATGCAGTAAGGACTTCACATTGCCAAGCTGGCTCAAAAACTCTGTGGCTTCATTCACTCTGCCAACTCTAAATATCTGCAAGATGTCCACTGGACCTCTGGTGTAAAAAGTAGAAGAAAAACCTTGAGACTGCATAATCAAAAGCAAAATAAAAAAATCATTATTAGCAGAAAACGCAAAACAGCCCAAATGGCCATTATTATGGAATGGATTTAGTGAATCACAACACATTTCCTGGAAATATGCAGTCATTAAAAAAATCACACTCTTAAAAAATAAATAAGGATATGAAGTAAACCTCATAGTAAAATAAATTTTAAAAATAGTTTACAAAACTTTATACATGGTATGATCTCAAATTTTGTCAAATATATAATATATATAATATATATAATACATATAATATATAGATGAAATTCATTCATGCATTCATTCATTCAACAAATACACTCTGGAAGCACCTGGGTGTCTCAGTCAGCTAAGCATCAGTCTCCTGATTTCACTGGGGACATGATTTCAGGGTCATGAGATCAAGCCCTGGGTCAGGTGCCACACCAGGCATGGAGCCTGCTTGGGATTCTCTCTCTGCCCCTCCCCATCTTCTGCTCCCGCACGCATGTGCTTGTGCTGTCGTTTCTCTCTCTCTTAAAAAAAAAAAATAATAATAATACACTCTATACACTCTAGGCTGAGTATTCTGCCAGGCCCTGGAAGTGAGATACTATGGTCTCTGGCTTCATGGGGTTTGAATCCTAATGGAGAGAGACAAAAATTAAAAATTAAAAGCTAACAAATAACTGATTTTAAGCTCTACCCAGCAAGCCAACCAGGTTCAGAGAGAGAGGATGGTCAAGAAAGGCCTGTCTTTGAAAGTGACAATTATTGCAACATGACATAATACAGTATATATTTTAAGACCTAACTGGTTCCTTTGGGAAAATCAATTGGCTGGGGCAGGAGCAGAAAGAGCGTCAGGAAGCAGGTGAGACATCGGTGTCTGGACTAAAGGTGGCAGCAGTGTGAATGAAAGATGCCAATGGATTCAGACATTTTGGAGACAGAACTGACAGGGCACAGTGATGTGGGGATGAAGGAGAGTTGACAGTGGCTCTGGGTAGGTGACTAGGATGGGGAAGCATGGGGAAAGACTGGGGGACTATGGAGGGACAGAGTTGTGGGGTAGAGGATGTAAGAGAGCCTATCCAGCAGGTCTTTCCAACTCCTCGTTCTTCGGCGTCACACTGATAACTTGACACTAGCTATAGTAGGAGTATTTACACCACAGAAACCAACAGTTATTGTAAGTCAGGACTTCTTTTTCAGAGAGCTGGTTTCCCAGCACACCATTAGATGTGGAGAAGAATCAATAATTGAGTTTGAGATATATTCTACACCAACATGTTAACAGTGGTCATATTATCTCTGGGTTATCTCTGGGTGGTGAGATTTGGGTGATCTTCGGTTTTCATCATGCTTTCACATATTGTCTAAACTTTCAGCAAAGAACATGAATTTTATAACTAGAAAAAATTAATATGAAATAATCATTAGTGAAATGAAATGGAGAAAATCTAATTCTTCACAGCAGCAGAATCTCTCCATAGGGAGAGGTCCACTTTTGTCATATGAACAGTTCAACATCACTTGGGTGTGAGGTGAGGTCTCCAAGGCCTGCTTGAGTTACATTAAATGGTTGAACTGTACTCCCCTCCCCAGGCTTGAAGACATGGCTCTTCCTTTTCTTTGATTCCCTGGAAAAAGTCATTTACTCTTCTCCTGATTCTACCTTCATTGTTACTAGTTTCTTAATTAGTATTAGATCCTAGCAGATACCTATGGGAGGGTCAAAAGTCAAATAAAAAGAAATAAAAATAATTTGATTATATATAAAAGTGAAATCTGGAAAAGATCTACAGGAAATGATTTTTTAATTGACATAAAATTCAAATAATATAAAATTAACCATTTTGAAGTGTACAGTTCAGTAGTATTTAGTATACTCAAAGTGTGCAACCACCACTTCTATCTAAACATTTCAGCACTACAAAAGAATACCCCATACCCATTCAGCAGTCAGTCCCCATTCTTCCCTCTCCTGGAACTAGGCAATTTGCTTTCTCTCTCCATGGATTCGATTTATCTATTCTAGATATTGCATATAAATGAAATCATACAATATGTGGTCTTTTGTGTCTGGCTTCTTTCACTTAGCATAATACTTTTGAGACTCACCCATTTTGTAGCATGTATCAGCACTTCATTCCTTTTTTTTTTTTTTTCTTACCTCATTTTGTTAATCTATTCAACCCCTGATGGACATTTGGGTTGTTTCCACCATTTGGCTACTGTGCATAGTGCTGCTATGAACATTCATGTACCAGTATCTGTCTGAGTACTTGCTTCAATTCTTTGGGGTATATAACGAATGGAATTGCTGGGGCAGATAAGAAATCTGTGTTGAATTTGTTGAGGGACTGCCAAACAGCAGCTGCAACATCTGACACTTTCAAAAGCACTGTATGAGCGTTCCAATTTCTCCACATCCTCATTTAAAACTTACAATTTTCCTTTTTTTCCCCAAAGAATATACCCATCTTAGTGGGTGTAAAGTAATGTTGAGAATGGCATTTGAGGATGACTGATTGAGGAAGGCAGAACACAATTTTAGATAGGTCTGAATTAGTCCATAAGGGAGGCGTATGTGGGTCTGGTTCTAGCAAGGTGCTGGAAAACCAGTTCTCAAAACAAAAGCAAAACCCACACACGACCCTGATTTGTAGCATTTGCTGATTTCCATGGTATAAATCTTCCCACCATAGCCAATTTCAAGTTACTAATTGTACTCAGTTCACAAAATTCCTAAAAATGTACAACTGGCCTCCGCAGTTGGTTCAAGGGGCTGCAGTTCACCACCTTTGGCTCTAAGCAGTGTGTGAGGCTGATTAAGGTTAGCCTGGCCCTTTATACCTAATGAGAGTCGAGATGCCAGAAAGGTCCAGAAGAAAGACTTCAGGCAGAGGAGGGCTGGGAAGTTACATTAGTGGGATGAACGACCAAACCAATGCAAGTCACTCTCACCCTCGAGAATAATCCATCAAATTAGTTTCTGAACCTTGAAGCTGGGTCCAGGCTCTGAGAGGAACTAACTAATGCCCAACGAGGGCTTGTCGGAGCAGCTGATCCACATGCGTCTGTTGTTACTGCTGCTGCCCTGGGTTGTAGAACGTACATGGACACAAGCAACACAGACTCACAGTCAATGAGGAAACAAATGTGACTGACATTTAGGGGTGTCATATCTCTTAACGTATTTTCCAGATTTTCAACTGAGTGTTTTCATGCCATGGAGTGGCCATTTTAGAAGCTGCCACGCATATAGTCCTGCATCTTAAAATCTTAAGTGGATTTTCCTATATAATATCCTTCAAAACAAAAAAAATACCTCGTGATTTAAAATTTTTAAATTTAATTCTCAGCAAGATTAGGTAAACTTGAAATTATTTCGAGTAGAGTAGTAGGGAGTGTTTTCAAGCACAGAATACTGTCCCAAGGCCTATTATATACAGATATATATATAATCCAGCATGGAGCCCAACGTGGGGCTTGAACTCGGGATCAAGACTGAGCTGAAATCAAGAGTTGGACACTTAACCGACTGAGCCACCCAGGCGTCCCCAAGTCCCATTATAAGCACAGAAGAAAGTAATCTGTCATCACAACATAGCTACCTTGTTACAGAGGATTAAATTACACACGTAATTATGGAGAGTAGTTCTTTTAACAGAATCTGAAATAGTATTACATAATAACAGATCCTAAGACATTTCCTTTACGCATACCTGTGATTATTCTGTAAAACCTCTTTTCTAACTCTGAAAAATTCTTCAGTGTTTTGTTCAACATGCTCAATTTTGCATCTCAAAGCTCGGTATTTGGCAAGGGATGGGGGGTTGGGTTTGAACAAATTAGTTTCACAGACATTAACCATGTCTCTTATTAGCTGTAGATGGAAATAATACAAGATGTTAGAATCACTATATATCAAAATATTTAGCGCACGTTACACTTTCTCAAAAAGACTGGAAAAATAAGGTTCCCCCCACCGAAGTCTTTTTTTAAGGTTTTATTTTTAAGTAATCTCTACACCCAATGTGGGGCTTAAACTCACAACCCAGGGATCAAGAGTTGCATGCTCCACTGACTGAGCCAGCCAGCACCCCTCCCCCAAAGCTTTTGATCAATAGGTAAAATGCACATTAAAGGTAATACCTTTTTTATATATTGTGCCCTCAGGGATGGCATAATATACCATAATAATAATAGTGTACATCAGGATAGCACATCATTGTTGATAAAGTGTTTTCTGGTACATGGTTCCTCTAATCCACACTACAGCACTGGTCTTATTAGATCTTATTGTCCTCATTGTATAGATGGGGAACGTGAGGTTCTGAGAAGCTGAATTAATTGCTCAAGATTCCACAGCAAAGATGGGGTAGTGACTAAATAGGAACTCAGATCATCAGAATTCAAGTCCAATTCTGTTAGCAAAACTTCAGTAAGCATGTTCTGTATGCCAGGCATTGTTTCAGGTTTGAACGATACAAAAATGAGTAAGACATGGTTGTCTTCCCTGAGAGAGAACCTAAGTATACTTGGTATACCCATAGGTCATGGAGCTTTGAGGAGGGAACATAGCTCCTACATAATCTGAATTACGTTTATTTTAGGGATGTATTGCTTTTACCATCTTTGAGATGAAAGAGACATTGACAGGGGAGCCCTATCTTGCCTGCCACACATCTTTATGACCTCAATGTGGGGAGGGGCTAACTGTAATTCAAATACACCAGCCATAAAAGAAAAGACTGATATATTTTTCTATATAAAAGTAAAAAATTTCTATATGGTAAAATAGAACAGGTCAACCAACCACCCCAAATTCACCATAAGCAAAGTAAAACAAAACAAAACGAACTGTAGAAAATATCTGCAACTCATATCCCAGACGAAGCTCCCTAACTTATTAAGAGGTCCTAAAAATCATGAAGAAAAATAGCAAGATCCAAAAGAAAAAGGGCCAAAGGAAATGAATAGACAGTTCACAGAAAAAAAAACCTCATAAACTAAATATAAATCCTGTAACTGAGAGGTCATTTCTCATCCATAAAATTGGTAAAGTCTGAAAGTTTGACAAATACACTTGGTAAAACTCTAGGAAATAGAAAGTCTCATTCACTGATAGTGGGAGGGCAAATAGTAGAACCTTTATGAGGGAATAAGACAAAATCTATCACAATTACAGATACACTGATCCCATAAGCCAGTACTTCTACTTCTGGGATGTATCTCAGAGACACTCCTGTGCAGCTACGACATGACAAATATTCAAGCATATTCCCTTTGGCATTGTTTGTAGTAGCAAAGTCTGGAAACAATCCAACTGTCTGGCATTAGGGAATGCCCAGACCATGTGGTGAATGAGGATGCTTTCAATTACAGGATATGTTAAGTGGGGAAAAATGGGTGCAGAACAGCAAAGATGGTATACAACTTTTTATGTAAAAAAAGAGGAGAGGAATAAGTATATATGTGTGTATTTATAGCTATTTGCATAAAGAAACTGCAAAGACAAGACACTAATAAAAATGGTTATCTAGCGAGTTGGGGAGTTGGAATGGGTGGAGGAGGGGCAGGGTAGAATACAGATTACTCTGAGTATACCTTTTAAACATAATTTTGACTTTTGAATAATACAAATGTATTACCTACCGAAAATAAAAAAGTTAAATGAATAAGTATTTGGATGGGCACTACATACACCTTCTCAATAGGAAAACCAGCAACTGAGGTTCTTAATGTTGGGTGGTAGGCAAATCATGAAACTAAATTTGGAAGGCTCCTTTAACATCTCATGTATTGGTTCATCTCATTTGTTGATTCTTCACTTATTTTGGATTACAGATGCCTCCAGGAATCTGTTGAAAGCTACAATTTCCCTCAAACATGCGCTATTTCGTATCTTTGAACTCTTGCAGTCTATGTCATGGATTTCTGATCTTGTCCCAATTCCTTCATGCACAGATGAGGCAACTCAGAGCCAGGGAGTGACTTGGTCTCATCTAAGGTGAGGGGGACACTGGGGCTGCCTTCCTGCTTTCCTCTTTGCTAACTGAGCCCTGCTCCCTCCCCTACAGTTCAAGGGAGAGGGCCCATTTCTGCAGAGTTAGTAATTCCACTCTCCTTGCCAGTGACTGGCTTAGGAATGCACATGTGACTCAGTTCTGAGCAAAGAACTGACCAAAGAGTCTACAGGGCCAGGGGAGCTTGCCCTAAGAGACAAGAAAAGAAATACTCTGGTTGAGATGCTATGAATAACTGCAGCTGTGAGGTCATGAAAGGTGAGCCAGGCTGAGGGAAGCTAAGTTTACAGGAAGCACAGAGATGGAAAGAAGCTGGGTCCTCGTTGGTAATTCTACCTCTAAGCGAATGGACCAGAAGCCACCCTACAGCTGGCTTCTTGTTACACAGGGTGATAAGTGTTCTCATTGTTTAAGTCAATGACAGCTTTCTGTTTCTTTTGCAAAAAGAATCCTAACTCATCTCGAGATAGGGAAACTGAAGGACTCCATAAAAATCTGCTTTTGTTCCTTTTCCTGTTTCTATTTTTGCTAGGACCTCCACTTCACACATGCCTGTGATGCAAATGGAGTTATGTCCTCTAGAATTCTCAAGAACAGATAACATCTAAGGAAGGACTAGGTGAGAATGAACTGATGAAGCTATCTTAAGAGCATTCCAGACCACCAGAACTAGACATCTCCACAACAAGACCCCCTGGCTCCAAGGAATAACACCTGGGCCCTTTGTTCTAACCAGTTCCTGGGTGCCAGACCATGATTCTCAATAAAAACCCCAGGTCCCAAGCAAAGACCCCCTCCTTTCCTTTCTGAGTCTCCCAAACACTGTCTGTACCTGCTCTCTCTCTCTACCTTCAATAAACTCTGCTATCACCTCCCGCTGGCCCATGTTTGATCTGTATCCCGTGAGCAGCCAGGGACCCTCTTGGCTGGTCCTGCGAGACCTTCTCTGGGTCCTCAGACCTGGCCTGCCAGCATCATCCTGATATAGAAAATTACAGTGTAGCAATTCTAAATATATCTGCCTTTGTACTACTATTCCAACACATTCATGTTTGGGAACATGTTTCAGATAACTTCCATAAGGACCCAAGGCATTCTAAAATGGCTCAACATTTATTTTTGAGCCAACTTTTGTGATTCAGGGCTACTTTATTAATCAGATTTGAAAAGATCCTTCCCCAACATATTTTAAATTGAATTCTGTATTTCAGAGATTTACCTGGCAGAGGTCCTCTTTCTTAGCCAATAGTCTCAGGGTCACTTTTTCAGTTGTTGTACCTTTGTGAGGTATTAATGTGTAGAACTCAGTCATCATTTTTTGCAGTTGTTCTTCTGTTTCTCCGTTTTTCAATGCTGCCTTTACTAGAAGGAGAAGTCCTTCTGCCTTGCTCACCTTTAAATGGAGGACAGTATATGCTTATTAAAGTTGATTCTTGACCATCAGAGAGAAAGTGAAGGAATGTGCCTAAAAGCAACTAAAATAGTTGTTAGGTAAGTCACAACTATTAGTTTTCTACTGGACACCAGCCGTAAAACAGATGCCATGTTTACAGGAGATGTAGCTCAGTTGTGACGCCGCCTCCATGAGAAATCTTCCAAAACCGGGCTCAGCTTAACTACAGGAAAAAACCAGAGCCTTAAATATCTGTATCTGTATATCTACATCTAAACCTACATCTACAACCGTATCTATAGCTACAACTGCATCTACATATCTGTCTATATTCTCGGAGAGAGGAATACTAATGCAACCACAGGAGACTTGCTTTTCACACAAGAAGTTTAGAAAGCTGTCAGAATCACACTAGGAACAAAATCCAGCAGAACATGTTTCTAATTACGTAAGCACTGTTTGGACTTCGCCCCAGAAAACATTTTTCTCCCTGAAATAAGTTAGTTTAGTTCCACAGAGGGAAACTGTATTATTTTACTATGACAATGCAGCTGTACAAGTTGTACCATTGGGAATATTTTCTTTCATCTGCTCTTTCCGTCATACAAAATTAAGGAGAGTATTTTTTGGAGGGCTGCAAGCATCCCTGGCCTTTCCCTAAAATGGTCACAAGTTACAAGACTGTGAAGCAGTGGCTCTGAAGTAGACGAGGGTCTGAGCATCTGACTGAGGACCAAGAGCAACCCTGTCTCTCAGGCCTGCTAAGCACCTTGTGACCTAAAGGAGCAGGCCTCCCAATGAGCCGGCACCAAAAAGCGGACCTTGGAGCAGCTCTTGGGTCTGACATTTTATATAGATAAGAACATCTAGTTTTCTTGGAAGCTTGTTTTCTCCTCAGTGCTCTCAGTGTTCCCTTTTTCCAAGGTAAGAAAAAGCACGCCAGGAATGCATCCAGGAACAGCTGGACCGGCACCCAGACACACGTGGTATTATTTAAGCCGGTAAGCCAGAAAGCAGGTTTGTCATTATAGAGGTTCTGCTTCAAGGGCACGCGTGACTCACGTCATGGAGACTAATCCTGTTCACAGGCTTGAGAAGCATGTGCTCCAGGTGGCCGAGAGCTTCCGCCCAAACCATCTCCACCAAATCGCTCACTTCTTTGCTCAGAGTGCTTGAATTTATTACCTCCTCCAAAAGCAACTGCAACAAAGTTAAAAAAAAAAAACAAAAAACAACCAACAAAAGGTTTCATTGGTGAGTTGATTTAAAGCTGAGATGAACAGAGATGAGAGAAGAAATAATCACAGCCAAGGAGAGAGTCACAGGCAGCCAAGGGACTGATAATTCTCTGTACCTCCACTTCCCCCCTACACTCTATTTCCCCTTTCTCTCCTTTACTCCCACTTTATGTCTCCTTTTGCCTTTTCCTTCCCTCTGTAAGCTTTAGGTCTGCCAGTGGCATCAAAGTTTAAGTGGCATTAAGGGTTAAGGACCCCTGATTCTTGGCCTAGGTTATAACGGAATCTTTGAAAGCCATGGGGGTTTGTTGCTGGAGCAAGCAGGAAGTTTTGTGGCTCTTCCTAGAACTCACTCCTCACCCGGTTTCCACACCTGCCTGTGAGTTTACTCTTCTTGTTCTCTGACTCTTCTCTCTTGCCAGGTTTTTATTTGTCGTAAAGAAAACACTTCTATTAAAAATATTCAGTCGATCACACAAAATAGCACACAGAAATCAATCTTACTGCTTGCAGTTTTTCAGATGCTAATTGGGTTGCTTCCGGTGTAAAATGTTCTCTTAGCAGAAATCCTTGTTTCTTCAGCTCTTCAATGTAATTTTCGTAGTATTCACTTGCATCTGCAGAGGTTTTCTTTACAGAGGACTTTCTAGTCTGTGAATTATAGTGTGGAGCAAAATGTTAGGATGTGAGGATACAGTCACTTATTAACCTATGGATCTTTATTGAACACCTCCTATGCACCATGGGGAAACGGAATGTAAATAAGGCATTGGATCCCTGCCATGAAGGCACTGATTACTTTTTTCAAAGAATTACTTAAATCTTCAGTTCTTCACAAAACTGCCTAACACCTGAAAGTAAGGGGAGAAAAGCCTGAAAAGGCGCAACAGGCAGAAGAGATGCATTTGATTCATGGGAGAGTCATTCAAACGTCTGTTCAGAGATTACATACTCTTACTTTACATACTAGTCTAATTAGCTTTGAAGTCTGGCATTCAAGCTTTTTGGGAAATGAGAAAAATAAATCAGAGGAGAGGAAGAAAAGAAAAATACCTCAGAAATGAGGTACTGTTAGGGACAAGCACACAGTCAAAATGAAATGATAGCTACCAGCAAGGAGAAAGGCAGGAAAGCTCTTAGTCATGCAAATAACGTAAAGGCATGGAGCAAGGTGTCCTCTGGATAGGTACAAACTGCCTCCTTCCTTCCAACCTGCCCGTGGATGTGGCATTTGTCTGTTTTTCCTGGAAATCCTTGCTCCTGTTGTGAGCAGTTGTCCCAAAGTTATTAACCTCTGAGAATATGGGAAGTCCAGCCCCAGCTGGGGCCTGTGGGTGTTGGCTAAGCCCCTGGCTCTGGAGTGTATGGGAGGGGGTGCGGGGGGTGGGGCAAGTCAGACTCCCCAGGACACCATAACCCGCCCTCCTGAATTGGCGGCTACAGGGAGCCTCTGGAACGTGAAGAAAAGAAGCATATCATGTTCCAGTTACTCCATTTAAGAAGGTAGAATTTAACATAATTTTGGAAGATTTGCACAAAATGTTTTTGTATGAGAGAGAGAGGCAAGCTAGAAAAGCCTCTTTTGCAGGACATCTCTTTCAGTGTTGGTTAAGTGAGGATAATTTCTATCAAAGCAGACTCACCCGAGGAGCCCTCTATTTGCCTTCTCAGACTCAGGCTTGCCAAGGGAGGAAGGCACCCAGGAAGAGCTCTCAGGGTAGTAAGCAGGAGGGGACACGGTGGCCTATTCAGCCTTAGAGTTTTCTTTTTCAGTAAAGAAAAATAATTATAACACGTTCTATCATGGTTTTCAACTTGATGTTTCCTTACTTTTTATCCACACAATTAAACCCTCCACAAAATACAGCATACATTTTTGGGGTAAAAGGTTAACAAAACCCTTTCTCTTACTTAGACACATTTGACTTGGATTAACTTTTTGTATCTGTTCCCAAAATTGCCTGGGTAATAGTGACTTCTCATTAATAAATCAGGACTGGGAGTTCAATGAATGAACGATAAGTGGTAGGTGGGAGACCTGACCCTTGGGTTTCCCTGAAAGCAGTGTCGTAAGTAATGGGCACCTCCCTTAAAGACATCTTGAACCTAGGCCCATGTTACAACAGGTATGGGCTACTGTGGGTGGGCTTCCAAGTCAGGTAGATTTTGTACCCACCTGAGCTGAGTCTCCCTCCTGGCACCAGAGCTGACACCTCCAGTGGGGGCAAAGCCAGAAGCATCCAGAGCCTGAGTACTATGCTGTGAGGACCAATCCTACTGAGGAGCACCTGGGTGAGAAGGTGCTAGGTTTCCTGCCTGTAAATCTGTCTGGACAGAAGACACCCTGTGGGTATGGCAGTGTTTACTTTGAATTTTAGGTATTAGTTCTGAATTTATTTTTGTTTCATAATAGTTTCAGGTTGGAACCATGGCCTTGACTTGACCGTGACCTAACATAAAAGTCTCGGCCTCTGCAAAGCCTTCCTTGCTCTTCTGTCCCAGTGGATTACAGTCATGAATATGTAGTTTCATCCCTGGTGGTGATCTCTGAGGGGCAGGGTTTGAAGTAATTTTTATCTTTGGCCTCCAGTAGATCAGTTGGTACATAGTAGGTACTTAACTAAGTGTGTGAACAGATTGCCTTAAGCAGAGTATACGTTAGTCAAGTTCCCACAAGTGATTCAGCACAGGAGCAGGGGGCCTACATGCCCTGCACGCAGTGACTATTTCTTTTTTTTTTTTTTACATTTTTTTCAATTTTATTATGTTATGTTAATCACCATACATTACTTCATTAGTTTTTGATGTAGTGTTCCATGATTCACTGTTTGCGTATTACACCCAGTGCTCCATGCAGAACGTGCCGTCTTTAATACCCATCACCAGGCTAACCCATTCCCCCACCCCCCTCCCCTCTAGAACCCTCAGTTTGTTTCTTGGAGTCCATAGTCTCTTACGGTTCGTCTCTCCCTCCGATTCCCCCCCTTCATTTTTCCTTTCCTACTGTCTTCTTTTTTTTTTTCTTAACATATAACGTATTATTTGTTTCAGAGGTACAGGTCTGTGAATCAACAGTCTTGCACAATTCACAGTGCTCACCATAGCACATACCCTCCCCAATGTCCTTCACCCAGCCACCCCATCCCTCCCACCCCCCACCACTCCAGCAACCCTCAGTTTGTTTCCTGAGGTTAAGAATTCCTCACTGACTATTTCCTTTTAACAAGAAAGAACCCTGTGCTGTTCTAGTCAGAGCACTGCTCTCACCCTCCTCTCCTCACCTGCCATATTCCAACGGAGACATGTTTCTACCTTTCAAAATTATTTATCAGGTAAAAAGTTTAACAGATTGGCAGGTTCACTGAGCAATGTTAAGGAAACTAGGTATGAACAGAGTGGATAAACACACAGGAATCAATATAAAGATCATTACCTTGCGGTGCCTGGGTGGTGCAGTTGGTTAAGTGTCCAACTCTTGGTTTTGGCTCAGGTCATGATCTCAGGGTTGTGAGATCCAGATCTGCACTGGGCTCTGTGCTCAGTGCAGAGTCTGCTTAAGAGTCACTCTCCCTCTCCCCCTGCCCCCT